ACCCCCCACCGTGGTCACAATCCACATTATGTGGGTGAGCCTTGCTGTACATACAGAGGTTCACTTATCACGTTTCCCTGGGAGTAAATCCCATTTAATACAATAGATTTTATTTCTATGTAAGCATGGACAGGATTGTGCTGAAAATGTTTGCAGCTGCATTGGCAGTCCTTCCACATTAGGCTTAGACTTTGTTCTATTGACTTGGCTGTGATTGGCATCTAGTCCTTGCTTTTGGGGCTCATTGAGCAACATTCTCACAATAACAGCTTTTATTGTGGTAAGGAAGGAGCTACTTTCATTTCTCCATTTTTTTAAAAATACAGAAAAGTCCCGAAGTAGAAATATGTCAGTTTTGCTTTCTCCTGCATTTGATTTTTAATTTAAAAACCTGTAAGTTCATCATAAATATATTTACAAATTTAGATGGGTTGTTTTCCAAAGAACAAATATCTCCATTTACTATGTCTTTGTAGGCATCCACATTAGTTGTCCTATCTGGGAAGTTTGATAAGTCTTCAGCATAGGTGAATGAAAGAATACATTTTATGTAGGTTTGGCTCAGATGCACAGCAGAGATTCTAGGATTGGGAAGCAGATGCCAAACCAGAGTCCTTTGTTGTGCATTGTGGTGTTTTGCAGCCTAAATACTTTAAATATACTAGATCCCATCGGATCTTGGATGCTAAGCAGAGATAGTATGTGGATGGGATACTTCCAAGAAATACCAGGGACTGTAGAGGAAAGAACTGACAAAACCACCTGTGAGGATTCCTTGCTTAAGAAAAAACTATGAATTTCATTGCGTTGTCATAAGTCAACAGGCTAGTTGAAGACACATACATGGTGCTTTTCAGTGCTTTTCAGTCAGGCCATGTACAGCTCCTGCCAGGCAGCCAATGCTAAAATGTTAAAAATAGAACAGGCTTCAAGAATCCCAGATATTTTCAGATAACAAAGAGTGATTTATGTGGGCTCCCTTTTCAGTTTGACAAAACATAGAAGGGCCTTTGTACTATGATTAGCACGCGTGCTGATGTCAGTTCTCTTGTCTAGCTCCAAGCTTTATTCTGCTGCTAAATTGTGCTTTTGTGCTATAATCCAGAGAACCTTTGTGTCTGCCTTATTTGTGTGTAGTTTATGGAATTGCTTTTGTTTTTGAGGATAGTCTGTGCCAGTTTCAATGAGAGTGACTCATTTATGCAACTGAAATAAACATTCCCATTTTCCCTATCTGGAAAAAAACCCATCTGGGCATAGATGGGGTGAGAGGCATAGAAGCAGGTGTTAATAGTCTAAAATCACTGTTTCAGATACTTGGTATTTTGTGACATCCAAGACTATAAACAAGTTCTGTTTAGACGATTATTTTATGAAACTGACTGCAACAAGACCTGTATTTCATTCTCAGTGTTGAAAGAGGTTTGTGTTAGCAGTGAAATGCAGGCACGATTTCAGTTCCATGAATAAACGAGATTATGCAGACTTTCACACTTGCACCCTATGTGTCCAAATAACCTTGTTGCACAAGTCATTAATCAATTTGTGTTCTGAATGTTAGTCTGCAGTAATTTATTTTTCCTTACCTGCTTCCTATCCATGATATTATCTATTTGGCGACTTCTGAAGTTGGGATGGGGAGTTCCTGGTCATTCAGAAGTTGTTGGAATATCACTGATCTTATCCCAGACTATGCCCATAGTGGCTGGAAGTGATGGGAGGTATGAGTACAACAATATCTGGAAGCCAACAGGTTCCTCAACTGTGTTGTATTGAGAAAACACATGGAGTAATTCTGCTTAACCAAAGCTAGTAATTTCACTTTTAAATAATTAATTTATATTTAGTGTGTTCTGTAACCTCTTTGTGAACACCAGAAGTTTATGCTTTCTTTGCAATGAGTTTCTAGATGTCAAAGGTCTGAGGAGGACACCCAATGTAATGTGGTTACAGTGTTTGACTATAACCTGGAAATCCCATTCAGGTTCCCACAGCCCATGAAAATACTCTTGGCCTCGTCACTCTCTCACAGCTTGAACTGCCTAAGAGGGCTGTTGTGAAGATAAAGTGGTGATGAAATATATCATCTATATTATCTAGTAGGGCTGGACAGTTTCCTTTCGTTAATTCGTAATTCGTTAATAATTCGTTAATTTTTTCAATTACAAAACGATAACAAACCATTCTGGAGCAATTATTAAAAAAAACAAATTTTCAAAAACGTTTTGTAAATGCTTCGTATTTCGATATTGTATTCGTTTCGTTATTGTTTTGAGGTCGTTTCGTTATTATTTCCGCATGTCTGGGCCAGTTTTATGGTTTAATTAGTGAAAAAAAATTATAATATCACACCAACAGTCAACAACAGAGGGAGAGGGAAGCTTCAGAAGGTTTTGGAGGTTTTTTAGCATATTTCGCGGTCGCGTCCGCCATTAACGAATCAATTCGTTATTGCTTCGGAAATTGATTCGTTAATTTTTTTACCATTTACGAAATTTCGTAAATATCGAACTTTTTAAAAGGAAAATTTTGTAATTATTTTAAATATCGAAACAAAAAAAAACCCCAAATACAAATCGATTTTAGAAACAAATTTTTCCGTTGTTACCCAGGCCTATTATCTAGACCTCATTGGAGAAAAAGAGGGGTATAAACACAACTTGTAAATAACAATACAAAATATTGGCTCAGGATACATTGTTTACACGTGGAATGCCTTGGAACAATTGGTGGCATCTCTAGGTACTGCTGTGTGGAAGCCTGGAGAATAATTTTGCTGATTATTCATCTTTCCTATGCTGCTGCTATCCAAATGTTTTGAATTACACTGCCCATCTTCTAAACCACTAGTCATGTGGCTGCTGTTGGCAATAAGGAGATTGAGGACTCAGGCACCCTTCCACACAACTAAATAAAATCCCACATTATCTGCTTTGAACTGGAATATATGGCAGTGTGGACTCAGATAACCCAGTTCAAAGCTGATATTGTGGGATTTTTACCTTGATATTCTGGGTTATATGGCTGTGTGGAAGGGCCCTCAATGGCCCAACTTACTATAGCATTAATCCCTCTTTTTCTTGAAGACATAAGTAAAAAGTTGAAGAGTTCATGAAACTTGTAAGTGGCTGATACTCCCATTGATGCTTCCATTTTGCATAGCAAGCAAAAGAAAAAGTACTTTTCATCAAGTGACAAACATGCCATTATGTAAGGCCTTCGTTTAAAAAAAATGTTTTAGTCATCGTTTAGCCATAGAAAATAGAGAAAGCATGTTATAGATAACAACAGCTTTGTTCAGTTCTGTTTTGTTTTTAACAATAGAGCATTTTATGACAGAATAATTGAAACCTAAAATCGCAAACTTGTTCATTTGTTATCAGTTCTAAAGATATTTGCGTTGGTACTGCATGGTACATTATATTACATTACATTTCTTAAGCCTTTGTGGAAGGTGTAATCAGGATTTAACATTGTCATAACTGTCACAGTGTTCCTATTTTTGCTTGTCATAGCATTTCCGCTTTCTCTTATGAAGAAGTAGTAAAATTACAGACAAAGCAAAAATAGGGACACAAATATTGGTTTTTGTTTTGATTTTCATATGCTGATTTTAGTTACAGTTTGGGGGAGGGGAAATGAGCTATAAAAAGTCATAGGAAGGAAAAGGAGTAGTAAAGATTGCAGACTGGTGCTTGAATACACATGTACAGGCAGTCCCCAAGTTGCAAACATAGTTAAGAACAGGGGTGAGACTGCAGGAAGTGAGAGAAATCAACTCCTTGGAAGGGAAATTTACTCCTGAAAAGAGTTATCATGGGGAAAAAAGTGTCTCAACTGAAGTTTTCTCACTACTCCTTTGTTTCCACAACAATCCAAACTTTTCAAAATCCAATTATCACAGAGGCAGAAAGTAAGGTGAAAGCCTCTGAACAGACAGCAAAAAACAAAAAAAAGTTACAGTGGTGTAACTCCTTCCGTATGCTATCCAAAGTGTGCATGTGTGTGTGGCTGGAGTTACACTTAAAAATGTACCTGTTCCAACCCTAGCCCTAACTCTAACCCTAACCAAATTCAACTTAAAATCAAACCTACAGAACATGTCTTGTTTGTAACTGTATAGGATTGCATTATAGGTCAACTTTTTGCCTCCTTTGTCTTCCCAGTCATTTCACATGCAATGGACTCCCGGTATCCACTGCAGTTTGAATCCAGGAACCCCCTCCCCTCGGATTCCAAAATCTGTAGATGCGCAAGTCCCGTTATATACAATAATGTAGTAAATGGTACTAGAGAAAACCTGAGGATTTTGAAATGGCAGGAGGGCACAACAGGAAATGCTTACCTATCAGCATAATGCTTGGAGCACAACAAAATCAAGTTTTACTTTTTCTAATTTTGTTTCAATTTTTTGAGTCATAATTGGTTGACTCCATGGATGCAGAACTCATGGACACAGAATGCTTCAATTCAGAATGCGGTCTTAAAGCTTTGGCTATTTACTGTAATTTTACACATTGTATTAAATGCTGGTACAGTAAAGAATACATTTAAAATGAATAACTGAGATGTTTTTATTCTCTCTTCACTTCTTTAGGCATGGAAAAGGAGATGGTTTGTGCTTCGCAGCGGTCGACTGACAGGGGATCCAGATGTCCTGGAATACTACAAAAATGACCATGCCAAGAAACCAATTCGTATCATTGACTTGAATTTGTGTCAACAAGTGGATGCTGGATTGACATTTAACAAAAAAGAATTTGAAAACAGTTATATTTTTGACATTAACACCATAGATAGAGTCTTTTACCTAGTGGCTGACAGTGAAGAGGAAATGAATAAGTGGGTTCGATGTATTTGTGACATCTGTGGGTTCAATCCTACTGAAGAAGGTAAGAGAACAGCACTGAATTCTTTCTTGCTTACATTTATGTGTACTGTATATGCAGGTATATAAGTTGTCCTCATGCATGAGGATGGGTTTTGGGACCAATATTATGGATTTTGGTATGGCCTGTGGATAGGTTAAAGAGAAAGGGCTCCTCAAATCCATTCTGCAGAGAGGTGAAAAGGCCAGTGTCACCTCAGGAGGCCAGCTGCCACTGGATGCCATCAGTTTCCCACCCAGGCATTAAAAAAAACGTTTTGCTACTCTATTCAGTGAAGGGGGTGGTTCCTTTTTTGATCAAAATTAAAATGCAACATTAACTCTTCCCAAAAAATGAACCATCCTTGAGTAGAGTGATGAAAAATAAGAGTTCATCCTGGGAAAGTCTAAGGCAGTGGTTTCTAACCTGTGGTCCATAGATCACCAGTGGCCCGCAAGAACTAAAGTGTGGTCCGCAACTTCACCATTACTACACCATTGCAATGAGAGTGACTGGTCCCGCAAAACCCTCTTATAGTGCAGAGGATCATTAAATATGTTTTTTTTTTGTGGGCGAGCAGATGATGACTACTAGATGGCATATGTTCTGTATCGGAAACTAGAGCTGATGTGGTTTATTCAATGCAATTTTCTGGATCAGCACCCCAAATAACCAGACCAAATCTAAAGTTGATCAAAATCTGATTAGTAACCCTTTTGGTACTAATGTTGGAGAGTGGTCCCTGGTCAAAGTGGTCTCTAGTCAAGTGGAGCCCGGTCAAAAAAAAGATTGGGAACCACTGATCTAAAAGAAGTCAAGTGGAGCCCGGTCAAAAAAAAGATTGGGAACCACTGATCTAAAAGAAGTAACAACTCCACACTGCTCTCTGCAGCAGCACAATTTCTGGCCTTTTGGAATACCTGGGCAGGACAATAGTGATGCTAGCTGCTCTTCGTTACTATCCTGTCTTGCCAAGGAGAGCAGATCGAATTGTTGCATTTTTATGATAGAATCTCCTTGGATGGACTCATTATCTTCTGTTTATTCACTTACCTTTGGTTGTTTGCATGTCTCCATCTCTACTGAGGATACCCTTGAGCTGTCTGGGGGCAGTCAAGGACCTCTCCCTCTGCCAAATCTCCCTCATCACCACTACTGTTTTGCTGCAACAGAGATGAAATGTTTCTATTGTTTCAGAAAATTACTCTGGGGTTTTGAAATCTCTGTCCAGTGCCCTTTTCTTTCTAGTTAGTATCAGAGTATTCTTTTAGAACAGGCATGGACAAACTTCGGTCCTCCAGGTGTTTTGGACTTCAAGTCCCGCAATTCCTAACAGTTGAAGTCCAAAACATCTGGAGGACCGAAGTTTTTCCATGCCTGCTTTAGAACCAATGTAGTTCAGAAATAGACACACTTCAATTGCAAGCTGCATGTTCAGTGACTAAAACTGGTATGAGACCATTTCAAGGGAAGTTTAAATCATACCTTGGAAGGCTGGCTCCTCTCAATTTGTTTGGGAGACTCTCTAGGTAATTCTAAATCTGCATGTAGCCTCCCAGTCCCAAATTACTGCTCTTGTGAGATTTGAGAATGTACTCGCGTCTGTGCAGTGAATGCATTCACCTGATCATTAGCTTTTGGTGCGAAATACGGAGTTCTGAGGAATCTAATCTTGGATTTCTAAATGATAGGTTATTGATTCATTAAATACGGCTCCTTTGTTGCATCTACCAATGCTGCTGCTGCTGTTACTACTTCTGTTTTATGAGGCTGAACTCAAGGCGATGAAGAGGCAACAGCAGCTTCTGACAACACTGCTTCTCCTTCTGAGGAAGCGTAATAGTTATTGACTAAATTGGAAGAAATTATATAGATTCTAGTTAAAATTTTAAATATAGTTACATAATGAAGTAAAGCAGCAATTCCCGATTTCCCTATTTCTGGAGATCTTTCCCCTTCAACATCCGAAACAAGAAGTGAGTAGTACGTAACACCTGGAGGACCACAGGCTTTATATTTTTGCTTTACAAAAAAAACCAGAAAATGAAAAGGATAAGAGAAAGGAAAACAAGAAAGAGCACCCCCTCCCAAAAAAACAAAAAAGGTCTGATTTTTTCCCCTCAACTTTTGGAATTAGTGGCTAGTTTCCCCTCTCCTTGATCTTAGCTAATAGCTTATTTATTTATTTATCGTGTCATCCGCAACCAGAACATTGTATTGCATTTCTAACAGAACAAAACAAACAAACAGATAAAAAAATAGCTAATAGCTGAGAGCTTCACTTGAATTTGAATAGTTTGTATATTGTTTTCTGTGTTTCTTGAGAAATAAAGTTCATAGTTTGACTAATTTTTGTGCAGATGTTATCTAGTAATAGGATTGCTGAAATAGAAACTTGAGATAGTTAATGGTTCCTTGTTTATGTGTGTGTGTGCATGTGCATGCACCTTCAATTCACCTATTACTGACTTCTTAGGCAAACAATACGCAGAAATTCTTTTGACAGTTCCTTCCACTAAAATATAGCCTAAAACAGCACCTGGTATATGTTGGCAGTCTCTCATCCAAGCCATAACTTGGGCTGAACCTGCTTAGTTTCCAGGAACAGATGGGATCTGGTGTATTTAGATCTCAGTGAGAAAGCCAGCATGATATAGTACTGCATGAGTAGAACTCTGAAAACCAAGGTTTAAATCTTGTTCAGCCATGGAAACCCACTGGGTGGCCATGGGTAACTTACGTTTTCTTAACCTCAAAGGAAGGCAATGGCAAACCCCCTCTGAATAAATCTTTGCAAGGAAGCTCAGTGATAGGTTTGCCTTAGGGTTGCCTGAAGTTGGAAATGACTTGAAGGCACACAACAATAATGGTTCTGTAGAAGAGAAAATTTAATTCCTTGTATCTTGCTATCTGACAAGTAGTACCATATTTACTTGCGTCTAATGTAACATTGAATTTTGAGGTGTGCATTACAAAAAATGATTTTCTACAGAAGGAAGGAGAAGCAGCACCCTTCCACCAGGAAGAAGAGGAAGCCACTTTTCCTTCCTTCTTTTGAAAAGGGGTGCCATTTCTCCATCCCCCAGCTGAGAGATGAAGGAGAAATCCCTTGGGGAGGGGAGGGTGCTGTTTCTCCTTCGCCTCCCAGTTGGGAGATGAAAAAAAAAATGGCTTGGGGAGGGAAGCAGTTAAAAAAAGTGTACGAACCAAGGAATGTATATAGTAATCAGTGTGATGATCGCAAGGAAAATGGTGGAGAAAAGACAGTTGGGTGATTCTGCAGTTTGAATGTAAACCTGTGATTTTATATAATCAATGCTTTCCAGCACTTTAATAAATGAGGTAATAAAGTACAAGTAGGGTGGGAGAAACATGGGCACTTTAACTGTATGTTGTACTACCATTTGTGTGAGAGTTTCAAATTAAAATAAATGTGTGTGATTCATAGGTTTCTTGTCCTTTTAGTGATTTGCTTGCAGTTTTCAGTTGCAGACAAAACACATTCTGAGAATAGCTCCCATACCCTTTGTGGGCTAAGCACTTAAGATCTGTTGTCATGGTATCTATATGATTTTTTTCTTGATATCAATCTGAAGTGCATTCAACCTGTTTGCTTCTGCACATATGGCCTTGGTGACTCATCCCTTGGAAATGGATTCCAGAGCCACATAATCATTTTATTTTGTGGCTGATTCATCCCCTTTCCATTGCCTCTTCCCATATCTATGTAGTAGAGACCCTTAGGCATGAATATGACATTAATTAAGTTGTTACATTGGGATGAAAAAAAGTCCAAAATATTATTATTTTGTTATTTATTTATTTATTTATTTGCGATATTTGTATACCACTGTTCTCAACCTCGAAGGGGACTCCGGTCGGTTCACAGTGTTGGCAACAATTCAATGTCATCGATAAAAACAGAATAAAACATTAAAATTGACTCTCCCCTAATAAAACATAGAACATTTTTAAACATATGTTATGTGTTGTGTGCCTCCAAATTATTCTTAACTTATGGTGATCCTAAGATTTTTTTTTTCCAGAGGAAGTTCTCCCATTGCTTTCCTCTAAGGCTAAGAGAGTTTGATTTGAGTTTGACTTGCTCATGGTCATCCTATGGGTTTGTGTGGCTGAGTGGGTATTCAAACCCAGTCTCCTGGAGTCATAGTCCAACTTTCAAACTTCTGCATCCATTGTTAATTAAAAGGAATTTGTGAAAGTTAAATGGTTATTAAAATGGATATTAGTAGATGTAAAAGATTAAAAACAATTTACATGATCCAGCCAGGACTTAAAATGTCAGTTTTTGACTGTCATGCCTAATTTTGAAAATGTAAAATGCATTAACCATGGAATGACGTATTTATTTATTTATTTATTTTCTATATTTGTATACCTCCCCTCTCAGCCCGGAGGCGACTCAAGGCGGTTTACAGTTGGCAATCAATGCTCCACAAGATAAAATAGACTAAACATTATATATAATATAAACCATATAAAAACAAAAAACAGTTAAAACCATAAAGTACAAGCCCTCAGCATCTCATCATTAAAATCATTTTCCGTCGCATCGTCCAGATGTTCTATGAGTCTCAATTAATTAGTTAAACTGCGTCTGCAAATGCCTGCTCAAACAGCCAGGTTTTAACTCTCTTTCGAAATGTTAGGACTTGATTGCCTCTGTCTTTTGCAGATGCTGTGAAGCCACCTGGCAGTTCTGTGCCAGCCGCAACTGAATTACCCTTAACTGTCAACACCTCCCTGCCATCCGCACAACCTGAACCATCCCTACCACCTCCGTATCAGCTCATTAACATCCCACCCATCGAATCTGCCTCAAGTCAAGAAGATCCACAAGACTACTTGCTACTGGTTAACTGTCAGAGCAAGAAGCCAGGACCACCAAGGTAAATGCTAACTTTTGATTCCTTAAAAGCTGTAGTCAACTTAGAAAAGTTACTTCTTGTGAAAATATTGTTCGTAAAATGACCTTGAGGCTATGTGTATAAGGTGCATATGAAAAATGAATTTATTTCTTGTTTGGACTTGGAACCCACCTCCAAGACATCCCCATAAACACACATCGACACACAGACACGCACACCCAGAGTAGAGTCTCGCTTATCCAACCTTCTGCATTATCTAAATCAGTCTGCCTCCTACCTGGATCCACAGTTGTTTCAATACATTGTTTTGGTGATAAATTAATAAATACATAGCATTACCATGTATTGAACTGCTTTTTCTGTCAATTTGTTGTAAAACATTATTTTTTGGTGCTTAATTTTTAAAATCATAATGTATTTGACATTTAATAGGTTTTTCCTTAATCCTTCCTTATTATCTAACATTTTTGCTTATCCAACATTCTGCTGGCCTACTCTACTGTATACATGTGTATATGTATATGTGCTTATATATTTATATGTGTATATGTATATATGCACACACACACACACACACAAGTATTGCTATAATTTTATGTTGTTATTGTTTTATGCCTATATATCGTTTATTTTATACGCAGCATTCTGGAGTGCTTTTGTGAGCCACCCCAAGTCCCTTTGGGGAGATGGTGGCAGGGTATAAATAAAGTTTATTATCATTCCAAAACAGAACACATAAAGAATGCAGAACCTGTACATGGTCCAACACTGTGCTGCAGTAATAATTGTTTTTGCTTTTACTACTTCACACAATGGCAAGTCCACAGCTTCATTGATTAAAATATTCTGTAGGGAGAGATGGGAGAAAGGCAAAGAATATTGCGTTTTTGTGCCTCCACTACTGTGTAATGCTGATTTGCACTTTAATATCTCAGTGCAGTTGTAGTGCTATCAGATAATTATATTGGGCAGTCAATTTGTGCCACCCCATTCCAACATTTGATTCATAATTTTTTGGCCCTTTCACTGTCATTGGATGAATTGCTTCAGAAAATCAATTTCTTCTGCTTAACAGCCAGCCCTTTGAACAGGCAGCAATGAAGCTGATGTACTAAAGGAGCCACATGATCACATTATCCCTATGTGAGGATTTTGGTGGAACTTCAATGGGCATTTAAACAATTACACGGAACCCACAGTGGATTATGGATCTTGTTTTTCACCAAGAAGTCAATATCTCATTGCTGCTTAACAATCTTAACTTTAGTATACTATTTCAAAATATGTTAAAAACTGCATCCTAAATCTCAAGTAGAATGTTGAATCAATAGAGATTTCCATAACTGTTGACTTACTATTCAGTAATAGATTAAATGTGCCTTTTTAATTTGGACTAGGAAATTGATTTAGTAGAAGTGGTTGTTTGGAGGGTTTTTTGAAGCAGAAGGTGTTGCTTTTCGAAAAAACCTTTGAGGATCATGAAAGATAATGTGCATTTCTTCTGATATCTCTCAATTTTTATCATGTACCTGTAAACCAGCTCTTACATTCTCTCAGAAGAAGGGGAGGAGTATTTACTGCTGGAGGATTTTGAAAGTAAAAAAGTTCCTTTGCAGTGAGTCTAATGGCTATTGTTTGGCATCTGTGTTTAGAATTTAACCAAGAAGTTGTAATTTGCCTGTAACAATTTTGATTTCTTTGTGTGCACATGCATATAATGCATGTTTTGCTGTGGATTATAATAACCAGTGCAAAAAAATAAGCTAATGTTGCAAGAAAATGTGACTTCCACGTGTGGACTGATTTATTATAGTTTGTATGGATTTCCTATAATTCAGTGATTCCTAAACTTTTGATTTCAACACTTAGAAGCCTCAGCTGCCTTGGCCAGTGACCTAAAATTCTAAGAGGAGAAGTGTTTATTTACTGTATTTATAACCCGCTCTTCTCAACCCCATAGGAGACTCAAGGCGGCTTACATATATAGGCAACAATTAGATGCCAAAAACACACACATAATCAAAACATAAGCATTATAATAATCTTTAAAACATAATAAAACCTTAAAACCAACTATTTAAAACCACACAATCCAATCTGTGGCCATTCCAATTTGTCATTGCACTATTTCATCTTTACTTATTGCACTGATAGATTACTCATTGAATGTTTGGTCGAACATCCATGTTTTTAACCTTTTCCTAAAGATCAGGAGGGAGGGAGCTGATCTAATTTCACCCGGGAGGGAGTTCCACAGACTTTTTATGGCCTTGTAAATCAGTTAAATTAGCCTCCCCACATAAGTGGTACCTAAATTTCCTACTTGACATGCAACTGTCTTTCGGATTGCAAAGGTCGACAACAAGCTACACAAGCTCACTCCGACCTTCGAACTCATGACTCAGTAGTGATCTTAATGAAGCTGACTCCCAGCCAGCTGCGCCACAGTCCCGGTGCCAAATCATGCAAAGCAGAATGTGTTATTCCAATTTTCAAGGAGCTTTCCACAATGCTGAACTATTATTTACTTCCACAACAGAATGGGAGCTGAGACCTCAGCAGTATGTTGTGGAAATGCAGCACATCATTAAAGTAACTACACAGTGGTCCTCAACCTGTGGGTCCCCAGGTGTTTTGGCCTACAACTCCCAGAAATCCCAGCTGGTTTACCAGCTGTTAGAATTTCTGGGAGCTGAAGACCAACAAATCTGGGAACCCACAGATTTAGAGAATGAAAAAGGTATTGCTCTTCTGCCACCACTCAACATGTAGACTCTTAATATTCAACAAGAAGAAGCTTGTGCCATCCTACTTCTCTGGTGTTGTAGAAGAACTAATTTCATATGTGATGGCTGCATGACAGCAGTCATTTAATTGAAAGTCATTTTAGCATGCTGTTTTGATTCACTGTTTGATGTTTGTGATTTCATAAGAAATTTGCTTCTATAACAACCTGAATATTTCATTTTTTTTAATTGTCTTGTATTTTTAGGTCACAGGCTGATGCAGCAAAAGCGGCTTCTTCTGAAACAGACTGCAATGATAATGTGCCTTCTCATAAAACATCTGTGCAATCATTGAATAAGCATACAGTGAATGGATTTTTTCAACAACCAACAAGTGTGTATGACTCTCCCCCACCAAGGGCTACCTCAGTGTCAGTAGATGGTAGCCTTTATAACCTCCCAAGGAGTTATTCGCAGGATGTTTTACCCAAGGCATCTCCTTCAGCAACTGATGCAGATGGAGAGCAACATGTTTTCAGTGCCCCGTCTGCTCCCTCTTCTCTTGATGCTCAAATGAGGCATTTCTCCATTAGTTATGACATTCCACCCACACCTGGAAATACCTACCAGATCCCACGGACTTTTCCAGAAGGATCGTTGGCTCAGAGTTCAAAGCTTGAGACCATTCCAGATGTTCCTCCACCTCGGCCACCGAAACCTCATTATTCTTCAGACCGCTCGCCTGTGGAAGCATCTAGTATCTCCCGTACTTCCTCAGACACTGATAGCAGCTACTGCGTCCCTACGGGGAGCATGCCCCCTTCACGCAGCAACACTATTTCCACCATGGATTTCAATATATTCCGTAGAGGTTGGTGTTTTCATTTCTTGGTTATGCTTTAACACAAATTTCATTCCTCTTCATTAAACTCGTAAGATTCAGTCTGTCAAAACTAGTTAGGGCCAATTTTGTTGTGAGGCAGAGTGAGGAACATTCCTCATGCAGCAGATGCTGGAGGGCAGGAAGCAGTGACCAGGTATGTGAGGACATTGCTTTAGGAGTTGTTCTGGCCTCCTAAACTAGCTTGTGGGCTAGCCTTTAATAGTGGGTGTTGTGCCATCACTGGAATTTAGGATTCAGTTGCCAGTCTGGTTTGGTTTCTGTATATGGAATTTGGCAGGTGTGGAACTCGCCATATTATCCTCCTTCTTGAAGCAAAATAACTTGTGTTAGCACTGAGGACATATTAGTGGGTCTTGAGAGACAATGTAAAAGACAATGGAGGAGCTATGTCACATGAAAACCATTTGTACCTCAAGGTATCCTGGTTGGGGTTTCCTAAGGATTTGCATTGGAGGAAGGAAAAGGAAGATGGAAAACAAGTGCATAATCCTATTTATCATTGTGTTCTGCCCAAAACCCCTCACTTAATCGAAGCCAACTTCTCTGAGTTTCTAAGACCTTTGTTTACTTGGTTAAATTGTGCTTTGAACACTGCAGGGCATCAAAGTTATTGCAAACAGGAAAGCATCATCAACATATTTCCCCATATTAAGAGTCTTCATAGCATGACAATTAGGATTAAGCATCCTTGGGATGGATAGGATAACTCATACAGTGTGTTTGTCTGGAAGTCTTATCCCTTGAAGCCTGTTTGGAAGCTTTTAAAGCCCATCCCGCAGTGTCCACCCATTAGAGATGCGTCATTATTGCATTTCTTAACTTGGCCAGGGGTCAGATTAGACGATCTCTTAAGATAACTTTCTTCTCTCATGAGTTGGTCTGATATCTCATGGTGAAGATGTTAACATTTTTGACAGGACATTTTTGTGTCATGACTTAATAGGCTTACATATATGTAGGTTGTGAACTGTTTGCGTTTCTAATTTGTTAGGTGTTTAGGTTGTTAGACTGATTGTAGTTTATATGAAATCAATCCTTATTTTTGTATTTTGTGTGGATTTGTTTTGTAAAACTCCATAAATCCATGATGGTTCCACTGGCAACAAAACCAACATAATCAATAGAAATTTAGTAGAAAAAAAAAACTCTCCCGTTTGACTACAATTGTATGTCCTTATGCAATTGACTTACTTGCCCCGTTTTATTTTTAGATATTGGATCTCAAGATTGCTATTTTGTTCCACGAACGTTTGCCAATGACAGATCGAGTTCACTGGAAGGCTTCCAAAACCACTTTGTAAGTCTGATTTGGGTTATCAACATTGTCATCTTAATGGGGTTTGCACTTCAATATATATTCTCTGAGAATAGAAAGGGCATATGAAGTGTGTTTTATACATAATGTTCAGTTATTATATAGATTTTCCCAACTTGGTGTCCTCCAGGTATGTTGGATTACAGCCCCCATCATCCCCTCAGCTATCATGTGGGGTTGGAAAGAGATAAATTGATCTCCGGAATGAGTGTAACTTCAGGAGTGAGTGTAACTTCAGGGCTTAGGATGGGGTCAAGCTATCATCCATCACTAGCCTAGCTAAAATGTGTATGATTGAGGTAGTCAGTTACAAAACAGAGAGTTGGTTTTGGAGCTGGTAAGATACACTTTAGAAAGAAGTTCTGTTGGGTATGGAGAAATCTAGTTTGGGAAGTCATTTTTTGTTGTTAAAACATTATTTGTCATTGCTTTTAGAAAAACAAAAGCCTGTTAACTGTGGGAAGTGTTTCAAGTGAAGAACTCGATGAAAATTACGTCCCCATGAACCCAAATTCTCCTCCACGGCAGCATTCGAGCAGTTTCACTGAACCTATTCAAGAAATGATGAACTATGTGCCAATGACTCCAGGCACTTTTGACTTTTCACTGTTTGGAATGCAAGTCCCTCCACCAGCACACATGGGCTTTCGGTCCAGTCCGAAGACTCCTCCTAGAAGGCCAGTCCCTGTTGCAGAATGTGAACCACCGCCCGTGGATAGGAACCTCAAGCCTGACAGGAAAGGTGAGGCAAGAGTGCTCACTGCCAGGTGCTCAGAGGGTTTGCTGAGATTTTTAGGCATTGTTATCTAGATAATAAAAATCAAGAGAACAGTATAAATAGTTGATAAGCCATCCAATAAAACATATGCATGGTGTATTTGTAAAATGTTTTTATATGTTGTACACCGCCGCGAGTCACCCTAGGGCTGAGAGCGGCGGTCAACAAATGCATCAAATAAATAATAAATAAATAAATTTTTATAATAAATCAAGAGATTATACAGCTCATCACTGGCAAAATAAATTAGAAAGTATATTCTCCTTATTTTACAGAATCCATGCTGAAGAGGCATTTATATTCTGATTTAATTATGATTGGGAATGCTGCTAAGGCAGAATTTCCCAACATGGTTACCTATGTCATAGTATTTCAGCTAAATACACTTCCAATTCTTTATCAGATTTTCATGCGAAAATGTGTACACATCTCCAAAGTAGTCAAACACACAGCGATGTTAATGGTGAGGTTTGCACTGGTTCCTTTGCTCCAGGTTACCTAACTCACATTGGAGGCAAACAACCTGTAGAAGGCTCAGATGGATCCACGAGAGACAGAATGTAGACTTTTCAAAAAAAAAATTGCTGCTAGCCTTTTCATTAATTGGAAAAAACGTTTTTGTGCTTAAGTAGAAGTAACCCCCAGTGGCACAGTGGGTTAAACTGCTGATCTGCTGAACTTGCTGACTGAAAGGATGGCAGTTTGAATCTGAGGAGCAGGGTGAACTCCTGCTGTTAGGCCCAGCTTCTGCCAACCTAGCAGTTTGACAACATGCAAATGAGAGTAGATCAATAGGTACTGCTCCGGTAGGAAGGCAACAGTGCTCTGTGTAGTCACGCTGGCCACATGATCTTGGAGGTGTCTACGGACAACACCGGCTCTTCGGCTTAGAAATGGAGATGAGCACCAGCCCCCAGAATCAAACACGACTAGACTTAATTTCAGGGAAACCTTTACTTTTACCTTTAGACGTCAAATGTTAATAGCCTTCTATTTTCAGTTATTCAGATCAATGAACAAATATGAGGTTAGTTTGAAGAACCAAATATGAACAATCTTTTGAGTAGTTGACATTCTGGTGGTCTACACTGTTTAGATCTTTATGTATTGTGCCTTATGGGGACACAAAAGTTTGCTTTAACAAGGCCTTCATCTCTTAGCTCCATAATTGAGATAGAGCATCTATTAATTCTTAAAGCTCTGAAAGGGAGTTTATAAAGACACTATGTGAGCCAACATCGTTGGTAAAAGTAATGCATTGTGGATAACTGGGTGGGATCCAGATTTTTACTTAGCAAAGGAACAGGGTGGCAGATATATTTTATTCCCGCTTTACCATTACAGTACTCTGTTCTCCTGGAGAATGGCTCTATTAGATTGGACAGCCTTCTGGACCTTAATTGGAAATGGTGCTGGAGTCTCTAAAGGGGGAGGGAGAATTAGAATAAAATGACCATCCTGTTCTCCTCCTACTGTTGTATCTCACAACTGTTTACTGTGTAAATGGAGAGAGCACTTAATGTTTGTAGAGGGAGAAGTCTAGTTCCAACCGAGCATATATAAACATAGACATAGGTGACTCTCAGAAAAGACAACAGATACTTGAGAACATATCAGAAAATGCTGTTTGAGTGATCTTTTTGATGCCACCTATGTTGAATTGTGTGTACATAGCCATTACCCTTTTTGCTGCTTTAATCTTTCAAAGCTTGCATGTGTTGTGGTGGTACTTTGGAAACAGCATTGATAGCAAGTTGGAGCTTTGCTTGGGAAAATCCTATCCCCTCTCAGCACCACTGAGTGTCCATCTAAACCAAAATAATGTGAATACTCTCGAGCTGTTATATATATTCAGGCCTCAATTCAATCGGCAGTCCCAATTAGAGTCAATTTACTGAATCAGCTGGAATTTGGTAAATCAATACAACACTTGAGGCCCTTTCATACAAGACAGTTATAACACTATGATTCCATTTAACTGCCATAGCTGTAGCCCGTGAATCCTGAAGTTTGTAGTTTTCTTGAATTAGAGATCTCTGGCCAAGAATTCTAATTTCTCTCCCCAAACCACAAATCCCAGAATTTTTAGGGTAAATCTACGATCATTCCATCAATTCAGTGAGCCTAATCTAATTGATTGAAGTTAGGCTTCTTTACATTTGAATTGCGTTTGGTTATGGTGGTGGTTGTAGCCCTCGATGGCACAGTGGGTTAAACTGCTGAGCTGCTGAACTTACTTACCAAAAGGTCTCAGGTTCGAATCCGAGGAGCGGGGTGAGCTCCTGCTGTTAGCCCAGCTTCTGCCAACCTAGCAGTTTGAAAACATACAAATGTGAGTAGATCAATAGACACCACTCTGGCGGGAAGGTAATCACACTCCATGCAGTCATGACCTTGAAGGTGTCTACAGACAACGCTGGCTCTTCAGCTTAGAAATGGAGATGAGCACCACTCCCCAGATTCAGACACAACTGGACTTAATGTCAGGGGAAAACCTTTCCCTAATGGTGATGGTGGTGATGGTAATGGCTCATAAGTATAAGGAGTATACTTATAGGGAGAGATATGGAATTAAAAAGATAATGCTTGGGGATTTTTTGTTGCTGAACATCATTGCAAGTTAAAGTAATTGTAATTGTCATCTTTAATTTAAGAAAAAATATTTACAAGGTGACATTGTGAATAATTCTAAAATGAAGACCAATAATGCAGAAATCTAAATGATGGGGAAATTATGGTTATGAAGCTATGGTCGGAAATTAAAGCATATTCCAAACTGGTACTGAGTTTTCATGATGTAATACATAGAATCATAGAATCATTGTGTTGGAAGAGACCTCATGGGCCATCCTGTCCAACTCCTGCCAAGAAGCAGGAAAATCGCATTCAAAGTACCCCGACAGATGGCTATCCAGTCTCTGTCTAAATGCCTCCAAAGAAGGAGCCTCCACCACACTTGGGGCAGAAAGCTCCACTGCTGAACAGCTCCCACAGCCAGGAAGTTCCTCCCAGTGTTCAGATGGAATCTCCCCTCCTGTAGCCTGAAGCCATTGTTCCAGGGCAGCAGAAAACAAGCCCACTCCCTCCTCCCCATGACCTCCCACCACATATCCATACATGGCCACCATGTCTCCTCTCAGGCTTCTCCTCTGCAAGCCAAACATGGCCAGCTCTCCAATGTATCTGAAATAAGTTTGGGTTTTATGAATGCATGGCATCAAATCGTGCCAATCTGTAACCCGCCTTGAGTCGCCATATGGTTGAGAAAGGTGAGCTATAAATGTCATTCATAAATAAATAAATAAATTTTATCATGTTAATGGTAACTATTTTGGGATCAAGTAGGAGAGGCGCGTTTTTCCACATTGGTGTTCCAGAATCCATTACTTTGCTCTCCTTAGAGAGGACATTAATAAATGCTGCACTGTTCCATTTCATCCTGACACTGGGTTGCCGGCTGCCACCAACATGAAATTTCTGCAGAAGCACATTAAGACTATGTGCAGACTCTATGGAGAAACTTAATTTAAAAAAAATTGAGATGCATGTAGATATGCATTGAATTCACTTCCTTATCCATTGAGGATGTGTCTTTTCCTGTACATGAGATGTATGTCTGGCATGTAAGGCTCTCTCTATATCATTGCCATGCTTTTTTCCCTCATGGAAGTCTACTTCATAGGGTGTTTCTAAGGAGAACATGCCAAGGAAACAGACCACAGTTCAGAAGCCTACAAGCAGATGTAGTTGTGGAAGGGAGCAGTTTCTTTCACTACAGTATTGCTCTTGTCGTGCCAACCAGACTTTCTTTCTTTCTTTCTTTCTTTCTTTCTTTCTTTCTTTCTTTCTTTCTTTCTTTCTTTCTTTCTTTTTTTTTGTCCTTCTTCATAGCATTATATCTCTATTGCTTCCTTGAAGCAAATTTCCTGCATGCCTTCTGGCTACTGTGCTTACTCCCCAGCATGAGCTTTAGCCTCACTGCAAAACTCTTTCTGCCAGTCACTTGTCTTTTCCTTCTCTATGCAATATTTCTCAAGAGGCCTGGCAGCTCCTCTTACCTACCCGATGATTATAATTTTTAAAATATATCTTATATTAAGAAAGATTCTCTTTTTTTTACCAATTAGGTCAGAGCCCTAAAATTTTAAGACCTAAACCCCATGGTTTAGAGCGAACAGATTCACAAACCATAGGTGAATTTACTGCAAGAAGAAAGGGTATGTACATCAAGCACTGCATGCTCTCTGGGGCTCCATGTGATGAAATCTCCTAAACGTGACATTCTTGTACAACCTTGTTATTACTTCTTTTACCATCTCAATTCATGCTTCCATTTACTTGTTAGCTACAATATTTTATGCTTAGGGAAAAGCACCACATAGTATAGAAAACATTGCTGGAATATGTGTCAAACTAATTTTTCTTCCAGACAGCTTAGCATTTGTTGCTACATATTTATTTTTTGTTTTCAAATATATCTTGCCACCTCTATGTTATTTTAACTAATATTTACAGTATGAAATGCTTGAAGAGGTAGGTATATGGTCTTGTGATGAAGAAGGGAAAGTGCTTATTTTATAGTTATTTTAATAATTGATTTGCATTATGCTGATATATCCCATATTGTCACATAGATAGAGGTTTTAGTAATAACAGACGCAATTTGACAAGCTACAGCCTCAAATTTGCCAACTTGCAATTTCACATGTACAGTAGAGTCTCACTTTTCCAACCTTTGCTCATCCAGCGTTCTGTATTATCCAACGCAGTCTGCCTCCCGCCCAGATACATAGCCGTTTCAATACATTGTGATGTTGTGGTGCTAAATTAGTTAATACAGTAATTCTTAGATAACGTTACCGTGTACTGGACTGCTTTTTCTGTCAATTTGTTGTAAAACATGATATTTTGGTGCTACACAATTTAATAGGCTTTTCCTTAATCCGTCCTTATTATCCAACATTTTTGGTTATCCAACGTTCTGCCAGCCTTTTTATGTTGGAAAAGCAAGATTCTACTGTAATGTGGAAATTTTCAGTGGAATCTGGATGGGAGTTTTAGATTCCCAGTAAATATATACTGAAGGATTCCCATTGTCAGAAACACTTGCTATCAACCTGTGGTCTGCTGATTTTTTTCTTTTAAAAACTATTTGGGGCCTGGCATCTACCATATATAAAGGATAAGCCGACCCGAATATAAGCCAAGGCACCTAATTTTACCACAAAAACCTGGGAAAAATCTATTGACTCTTGTGTAAGTCGAAAATGGGAAATGCAGGAGCTACTGGCAAATTTCAAAAGAAAAATAGATACCAATAAAATTATATTAATTGAGGTATCAGTAGGTTAAATGTTTTTGAATATTTACTTAAAACTGTAATTTAAGACTGTTCAACTCTGATTAAACCATTATTCTATTCTTCTTCAATGTAAATTGCTTTCATATCCTTCCAATAACAATGAAGAGAGTAAAATAATAAATGTAATAAAAATAATAATAACAGAGTAAAATAATGGAAATAATAATATAATAATAACTTAATTTTTATACCTACCACCATTTCCCCGAAAGGACTAGGGGTGGCTTACATCTGGGACGAAGCCCAGCGTGAACAACAAAGTTTACCAAATAAAAACATAGTTAAAAACTCAATAACATATCACAATCTAATAAAACAATAAAACAACAGGATATAAAAGCATAATTGAAATGTATCCGAAGCAGTGTAATAATAACAGTAATAATAGAGTAAAATAATAAATGTAATAATAAAATAGAGTAAGATAATAATATAATAATAAATAGAGTAAAATAATAAATGTAATAATAATAAATAGAGTACAATAATAAATGTAATAAACATAATAATGGAGTCAAATAATGTAAATGTAATCATAACGGTAGTAATAATAATAAGGTAAAATAATAAATAACTTTGACTCGTGTATAAGCCGAGGGTGGCTTTTTCAGCCCAAAAAGGGCTGAAAAACTCAAATTATATTCGAGTATATACGATATATGGAACCTAAATTGATACAGGGTAATATTATAGCTCCAGTAGCCCCAGAATCTGGAGTATTTGGGATGGAAATTAAGGTCCATATATGACTTTAAGTAAAATAAAATTTGTTTTCTTTTTCCTTTCCTGCTATGCTAGAAAATATGCAGGCACTGGGTTTTAAGTAGAAATTACTTCCAATGCAGAGATCACAAGATCTACTTTCTTAGGCTTAATTCCTGCACCTGTTCCTTATGATGGTTTAAACATATAATAAACAAATAATGAGTGAACATATAATAAACATTTTATGATGCCAAAGGGAAGATATGTTTAAAGTAACATATGGGACTATATTTTCCACAGTCTGCCCTCTTTTCTGCTGAGACAGCTGTTTACTACTTTGTGGAACAGGCCAACTTTTAAGGGCATTTTTTATTACTTTGAGAGTTGTCTCGGACATCTTAGTAGAAATATATATTGTAAGCATATAGAGTAAACTAGTATTAAGAATTTCTGTTGAGATTCAGTGATTATAAATATATATAAATGGAGGCCCTGTTGCAGATTTCACTATAGGGATTTGGTCAGTGAATATACAAGACTGGACTTTCTCAGTAGCACTATCATTGTCGGAGAATACACTTCCTAGGAATGTCAAGCTGAGTTTTCAGTGAGCATTCAAGACTGTGTTGTTCCAAATAACCTTTGGTTGGTTTGCTGTAAGTTTTTCGGGCTGCATGACCACGTTCCAGAAGCATTCTCTCCTGACGTTTCACCTTCATCTATAGCAGGCATCCTCAGAGGTTGTGACTGGGCCGTCGCACAGCTAGTTAGTAGCCAGCTGCATTAAATCATTACTGACCAAGAGGTCATGATTTCGAAGCCAGCCAGGGTTGGAGTGAGTTCCCAACCATTAATAGTCTAGCTTGTTGACCTATGCAGCCTGAAAGACAGTTGCATCTGTTAAGTAGGAAATTTAGGTACTGTTTTATGCGGGGAGGCTAATTTAACTCATTTACGACATCATAAAACCTTCCAGCAGTGTGTGCAAAAATGAGGAAGTACTCAATCAACGACTTGGTGTCACAAGTGGACAGTGAAGCGGCAGCTCCCTCTGTGGCCAGAATCAAGCATACCCTCATGAAGCCGGAAAGCTAGAATGTTAAATTGCCTCTGTGTCTGTCTGTATATGTTGTATGTCTAAATGACATTAAATGTTTGCCATGTATATATGCATTGTAAGCGGCCCTGAGTCCCCTGTGGGTGAGAAGGGCAGAGTATAAATATTGTAAATAAATAAATAAATAAATGTGAAGTCTCAGAGGTCTCTAGAGTTACAAGCTGGGTAGGTGCATCCTCTGAGGATGCCTGCCATAGATGCAGATGAAACAACAGGAGAGAATGCTTCTGGAACATGACCATACAGCCCAAAAAACTTACAGCAACCTTTGATTCTTTGAAGTAGGTTTAGAGTTGGTTTTGGGGATGGTTTAATCTGTCCTCAAAGAATGTTTGGCTTTTAAAACCCATTGTTAAGTTAGCTTTAGTCTTTTTTAAAAAACCTTTTTATTTGTTGTATGTTGTTTTGGGAAGAATTGTGGCCTGGGGAAAAAATATTTCAAACAAACATACAAATAAATGTGAAGTGAACTTTTACACTGGTTAAATGTTCCCCTTGAATAATTTTCATCCTACCTCTCATATCTTCCTATGGCAACTAAAAATGTCTGTTGATGGTTTCTGGGCTCACCAGAAATGGCAAAGAGGCAAAGAGCAGGAGATGTGATTCCTCCTCCAGTCCCTGCAGATCCTGACATTCTGTTAGTAAACATTCACTATTGGATTCTGCCCTTGTTTATACTTGGCAGTGACTCAGTGGCCTTGTTAGTAAAAGTATTTCAATTTGGATGATACCTCACCTAAATTTAGGATGAATAATTTAAAATGCTTTTTAGCCAGCTTCTTTGGAAGAGCTGCTACTCCAGACTGCCTGGAACACTTAAGCACCTTGAATCCTTGCATAGTGCTGTCTCCTGCGACTGCTTGTTTGTGCATTTGCAGAAAGCAGTCTCTTAAATCTTGGAAGTACTTTTAAAAACTATTTAATGCTGTAATCTTATGTACATTTCAATGAGAGGAATTTCCACTGAAGTCAGTGGGCTTATGTCTAAGTAGATGTTTGTGGCAGAAAACTCATATAAAAGTAGTGAATGTGAGCAGCCTGATTCTTTAAGTTGCTTACATTTGTTCTATATACATATACAAGTAGGACGGCCTCGAGATAATATAGTCCTAATATAATTCATGTCAACATTTACATGGATTTTAAAACATTATTTTTAATTGCAGGGTAATGTTAGGACATAGCTTATTTGCTCAGAGTTCAATTTTTCAATAAATAGCAGTTATGCAATTGATTTCAATGTAGACTGCTGGCAAGACTTTCCTGAATTTAATCATGTAATTCCGAGACTTAGTTAGGATCATAATGATGTTATCGTGTTGTTAAGTTAGTAATTGCAGCTTAGATTCTCATATACTTAAAAGACACACTTGAAGCTACTTTCAACGTAGACATTTTCCTAAGCAACAAATCTATCTTGGGTATAGTACCCGAGACACAGGTATCAATCATACTTTCCACTTTGCAAGTACAGTCTGATGAGCTTTTACTGAAACAGCACTTGCAAGATAAAGACCTGATTTTATATGAATGCACCTCTGAGCATTCTTTGCCAAAGAGAACCGCGTGAAATTGATGGAGTTGTCATAAATCATCAGGTGACCTGAAGACACATGCACACCTAGAGAGACACTGGAGGGAAACCCTCTTGAATCATTCATTGAAGACAAATGGTTCTTGAGAACACAGAAATGCTGGACCACTCTAACAACCACCATGTCAGACTACACAGAGATGCCATTGAAATCCACAAGCTTGTGGACAATTTCAACAGAAAGGAAGAAACCACGAAAATTAACAAAATCTAGCTACCAGTATTAAAAAAAACCCTCTAAAATCAGGACAGTAAATAAAGCTGGGGAATTCCAGACAAGAATCAATCAGGACCAGCTAACAACTCCCAACTAAGGATTCTCCCAGGCTTTGAAACTGCAAGGCCATTCAATGCTAATCAAGGTGGCCAATTGCAACATTAACACTTTCCTCCAGCAGACAAGAGTTATTTCTCCCACCCTAGACATTCCACAATATAGGCCTCACTTGCCTAGTTTCCAACAGACTCCTCAACCTCTGAGGATGCCTGCCATAGATGTGGGCAAAACGTCAGGAGAGAGTTCTTCTGGAACATGGCCATACAGCCCGGAAAACTCACAGCAACCCAGTGATTCCAGCCATGAAAGCCTTTGACAACACATTGGACCTGATAAGCTTATAAAGTCAACTCTGTTGTCCTACCTCTTCAGTCATGGGTGGGAGATATGGACATCTACAGTCTTCCAACAAAGGCTACTTTTGTGATCTTGAGAGCTTTTCCTAAAATGTATTTATGCTCTCAATCAATTTTTGAGAAACTTGAAGTTTTACAGATGTTAACTAGTGGAGTCCACAATGGATCTGGCTATACAGGAGAGAATTCCTGTATCCACGATGACTGCCCATCCTGTCTTACATTTTAGAGAAATCTGTTCTATACTTACTACAACGACTAAGCCATTCACATTAGAACCATTAATTGCCTTAATCATTACATTTATAGAATAAAAGTGTACTTTGACTATTCTTTTAGCTATCAAAGTCTTCAACTCTTCTCTAGGATGCAATTTGGTATTATTTAATGTTAAATGAGAAACCTATCCCATGTGTAAATCAAGTAGCCCAAAGATTTTGAAACAAAAAAGTAACTTCTCTAATTTTTAAATACATTTGTGCTGCAAAACGTATTTCCTTGCTGCAACGATAAGAGATTCTACAGTGTCCTGTCTCAAAGTACATAATTTTTCTTTTCTCTCCCTGCCTCCATCTTTTTTTATATAGTAAAACCAGCACCACTGGAAATAAAACCTCTCCCTGAATGGGAAGAATTGCCAGCTCCAGTTAGATCTCCCATCACCAGAAGTTTTACGCGAGAGTAAGTCCTTTTTTCCCTTTTTTATTTACTCATGTATCCTTTCTGTTTTGACTATTGTGAATTTTGACTACTGTGAATGTGTGAATAATCTTAAAGGGGTGAGTTACAACATCTTTAGTTGGATTTATATCATTGTAATTCTCTTGGTTGCTTGTTGTAAAGATCCAAGTGTTGTTTTGTTGGAAGCAAACACAATCCTCTGAAACCACATTTCCAAACTCTGAACCTGCTGTTTTAATAGTGACTCTAGTTTTAAGTTTATTGTACATTGTTGGTTTTTAAATTCTGACTTCTTTTAACATTAATGAAGGAAAATAGACTATAAATAGTTAGCAATAAGGTATTTCATAGAATCATAAGAGTTGGAAGAGACCTCGTGGGCCATCCAGTCCAACGCCCTGCCAAGAAGCAGGAAAATGGCATTCAAAGCACTCCTGACAGATGGCCATCCAGCCTCTGCTTAAAAGCCTCCAAAGAAGGAGCTTCCACCACACTCTGGGCAGAGAGTTCCACTGCTGAACAGCTCTCACATTCAGGAAGTTCTTCCTAATGTTCAGGTGGAATCTCCTTTCCTATAGTTTGAAGCCATTGTTCCACATCCTAGTCTCCAGGGCAGTGGAAAACAAGCTCCCTGACTTCCCCTCACATATTTCTACAATGCCCTTATCATGTCTCCTCTCAGCCTTCTCTTCTTCAGGCTAAACATGCCCAGATCTTTAAGCCGTTCCTCATAGTGCTTGTTTTCCAGACCCTTGATCACTTTAGTCGCCCTCCTCTGGACACATTCCAGCTTGTCAACATCTCTCTTCAATTGCAATGCCCAGAATTGGACACAGTATTCCAGGTGTGGTCTGACTAAGGCAGAATAGGGAAGTAGTATGATTTGTGATTTCTGAAACGTATAGGTCCTCCAACTTAATCTCTCAATTTAGTTCCTCCAGGTTTCCATTATCACCTCGGCCAGATTCCGTTCACAGCACGACGTCTAGTAGTGACTCGCATGACAGTGAAGAAAATTATGTAGCCATGAATCCAAATCAGTCCAGTGATGATCCAGTAAGTTATTTCATATTTCAATTATACATACTATTAAGCCCTTATACAAATTATGATGTTCTTTGAGTTCAAGGATGTTTAATTTTTTTTAAGAAGAGCCATCTTAAATATTTTAATTGGCACATTTTTAGACATACTTCTAAATTATGAGTCTTAAAAACAAACATGGCTCATCATAGTGCATGTGTTAGTTTTCTGTGTCTACTCCTTTTTCCTTGTACATTGTAGTTCTAACTGCATTTTTATTAGTTCTTTTGTATAGTCTTTGACTGTTATGTAGTACTGACATTGTCCCTGCATCAGTAACATCTCTAGTTACTAGGGAGGAGAATCCTTTCTATCTCTTGCAAACCTTTTTTTTTTACCTTTGAAATCTTCTGGGTGGAACGGAGTGGGGGGGTCAAGTCTTCCACACGTTTTAAGTACTGTGGATAGGGAAGTGGCTGAAAATTATGTTGGATTTAAGCCTTTTGATCCTTATTGTTCTGTTTTTTAGGATAAAAGAAGAATTTCCTCCTTTATCAATTTCCCCATTCTGTACACAATTATATAAACTTCTAACAGGGTGAGCTCCTGTTGTTAGCCCAAGCTTCTGCCAACCTAGCTGTTCGAAAACATGAGTAAATCAATAGGTACCGCTTCAGCAGGAAGGTAGCGGTGCTCCATGCAGTCAAAGGTTAAAAAAAGGTTCTCAAGAGATAGAAAGGACTCTCCTCCCTGTAACTAGAGACGTTACACATGACCTAGGAAGTTTCTATGGACAATGCCAGCTCTTCAGCTTAGAAATTGAGATGAGCACCATCCCACAGAGTCGAACTCGACTAGATTTAATGTTGAGGGGAAACCGTTACCTTTCCTTAGCGTTCTAGCTTTAATTTAAAACAGTGTTGGTGCAAAATACTGCATCTTTAAAGTCATATCTTTATCTAATCACTTTATCCATTCTATTAAAGCTGTTGCTAAATTAATTATTTCAATTACAATTTCAGACTTTATTTGGAAGTAATAGTCTTGATGGAGGAAGCAGCCCTATGATAAAACCAAAAGGTGACAAGCAAGTGGAATATTTAGATTTGGATTTGGACTCCGGAAAATCTACCCCTCCTCGCAAGGTATGGAGAGTAACAAATTCCTCTTTCTTTCTTTCTTTCTTTCTTTCTTTCTGTCTTTCTTTCTTTCTTTCTTTCTTTCTTTCTTTCTCTCTCTCTCTCTCTCTCTCTCTCTTTCTCTCTTTCTCTCTTTCTTTCTTTTTACACAACTCCCCCTCGTTTCTTACACAACATGTCAGGGGCACTCAGCATATCACTTGTTGTTAAGGTAAAGGATACATTCAGTATTTTCTTTTCCAGTCTCATCATTCCTCATTACTGTACACATTACTGCAAAAATGCAATGGCCTTAGGATCTCCATTTTTTTTGTTGATTCAATTTGCTTCTTGCCAGTGAATGAGATAAAGTTTTATCTTATTAATCTACCAATTCAGTCTTGCAGAATGGAGACCTTTGGAATTGTAAATGTCACTTGCCCTTTTTATTGTTAAGCTGAGGACATTTTTTGTATCACCTTTGAAGACAGACATCTTACCTAGAATCATTTTCTAAAAAATAAAACAAAATTTGGGTATTCCTGTTTTCAGAAGCATTGATTCAAAGTCCCTGTAAGACTGTTACTGGTGTGCTCGAGATGGAGAAATGGGAAAAATTTTCCCTTCAGCCCCCATCTCCTCTGACTCCCTTCTACACAACTGTTTAAAATCCACATTGAATTGGATTATATGGCAGTGCGGACTCAAAATACCTCAGTTCAAAGCAGATATTGTGGATCACCTGCCTTGATATTCTGGGTTATATGGCTGTGTGGAAGGACCATCCAAAACAGTGCTGGAGTGGGTGGTGTGTAGACACCTGGGAGAAATCGGGGGAGAAGTGGACTTTTGTTCCTTCTCTTCCTCCAACAGAAAAGTCTAAGAAACATTCTGCAGCTTGTCCCTATAACTGTTTTGTTGTTTCTACATACCTTCACGTCATTTTTGACTTATGGTAACCCAAAGGCCAGCCTATCATGTGGTGTTCTTGACATGATTTATTCAGAGGAGGTGTTGTTCAGTCTTTCTCTGAGGCTGGAAAAGTGTGGCTTTCCCCAAGTCACCCAACAGTTTATCAAGGCAATTTGCTGGCCAACTTGCTTCTTATGGTCCAATTAACTGGCTTCAGACAGTTGTTTCTGCTTCAACAGCAGCTCTTATCTTTATTTACATTTCATTCATTGCAATAACACTTACTCATTAGCATGGTCACAATGCAAGAAAGAAGAGCAAAAGAGAGAGAACAAATGGCATCTGCTATATTTATACCCCACTGTTATCAGCTCATTAATTCAGTGTCCAGCCTCCTAGTCTGTTGCAACATCTTCCTTGTCTGTTCTAAGCATGCTTCATAATGTTACAAAGATTAACTTTTCCACAGCTAGCAGAATGGACATTTTAAACTTGTATGATATATATTGACATTACACTGATCAATGGTCAATTGGGATCTGAACCTTCGTTTCCATGGTTGTCCTATGCTCAAACCACTACACCACACTGACGCTCAGACTTGTTTTAACTCATCTTAATTTTCCCCTTCTTAATTCCTTTTCCAGAAGAAGAGCAGTGGTTCTGGAAGCAGTGTGGCTGACGAAAGAGTTGATTACGTTGTGGTCGACCAACAAAAAACCTTAGCACTGAAGAGTACGCGGGAAGCTTGGACTGATGGCAGGCAATCTACAGAATCTGAAACTCCAATAAAAAGTGTAAAATGAAAGAGCTCATCCCCTTATCATCCTGTTGAAATGTTTATAGAAAGTGCTGCAGTTATACCATTATTTGACAGAAAAGGACTGGATTATAGTTTTTCCCAAGCATACAAAAATCAAGATGTCAGCAGCATGAGATAAAATAGTAACCTGTATGATTGGGTGAACTGTATGATGTAATATGTGTAAAATAGTATTGGTTAGGACCCAAAAAACAGTATGGCCTGAAGTAAATACATTTGTAGTATTACAATGTTTTATGCACTTTTTTCCTGTTGAAATGTTGGATCAGCTTTCCCCATCTAATGTATTTTAACACTTTTCTCCCCTTTGACACTACTCAATAACATTCTAGGAAGTAAGCTACTTGTATGATATTAAAGTTAAGGTTTGAAGTGCATTTTAATAGTTCAGTACTAATTAGCAAGAGATAGTTTCACAGTTTTAATCTACTTGAAATGTCAAAAATGATTTGTTAAATACCTATGTTTTATATTTAATACATGCAAAGAATATCTGGAAGTCTACAGGTTACCTTCCTAACACAAATGGCTGTGAGTTAGTGATAATAGTCTTTATGGGTTTTAGGATTTATCCTTTTGTCTTTTGTATGCAATAGCACACTAATAGGGACGCTCCTAGTGCATTTTCACTGAAGACAGTGTTCATTGTTCAGTGAGTGAGGATTCTGCAGGGAGGGATCTTTGCACTGAAGAATGAAACACGACACAATCCTGCACGCTGACAATGGTGTGTAGCATGAGTGATCTCAACACTTTAATGGCAAGCCACAACTTTTACATTATTTACAGAAGGTAGAAACTTTAACATCAGGTACGTACTCTAGCACTGTGATGCTAACACAATTATCAGGTTTGAACAATACATTTTTAGTTTTTGTACTGCTACCAAGCCTTAGAATTGGTTTTTAATATGAGAATAAATGAAACAGTTTGACATTGACTGTTTGTAGTACTAGAAGATACTGTGATATTTTTCTGTTTTAATTAGATTGCAATTCAGGTGGAAATATTATGTCGTGATACCGTCGTGCTCTTTTAATGATCCTTATTATGCCTAGTTTTCCGCTTGGCCTTATATTTAAATTCCTATGCAATTGGTATCTTTCAACATCTTGGGTTGTGTTTTTAGAGAGATGCTATAACAAAATGATCCCATTTTTAAACAACAACAAGAAATCCTCTCCCTAGGTACAGCATTCATATTGAGTACTTTGGTTTCTTGATTCACTATCCCTTCACCACATGACAATATCTCCAAGAGACTTAATTTTCAGAAAGTGGGAGGGGAAACATAGTTGTCTTTAAAGTACCTCTTAATAAATTCATTAGTCATGTCATGATGGAATGATCTACTAATTTACCTTATACAGTTGCATTCAAGTAATTTCTTCATACTTTCTAAATATTGAATGAATTTAGAGATAATGGCCTTAATCACTGTGCCTAATTGACCATTTCCCTGCCTCCACCCAATTGAACAATATGTAAATCTTCTTTATTCCTAACAAGGTTTCTTTTTAAATTAGAAGTATTTTGATGTTTTGAGTGTTTTTTTTTAAAAAAAAACTAAACATGTTGCATTTTGAGATGAATTTTAAATAAATTCAAATTGTTCTGTTCTGATGTGTGGAAGTTGTTGATTAACCCTTCACCCAAACATTACCAATGCGTTTGCAAAGCGATCCCATTGCAAGTCCGGTGTGACTCTTATGTTGATTTCTTAAGGTTGGCTTAGCACAGTGGTTCTCATCCTGTGGGTTCCAAGATGTTTCAGCCATCACCACTCAGAAATCCTAACAACTGTTAAACTGGCTGGGATTTCTGGGAATTCGAGGCCAAAACATCTGGGGATGCACAGGTTGAGAACCACTGACTTAGCATTATGCATTGGGAAGCAGTCATGGCTGGTGGTTTCCATATCAGAAGAGTAGTCAATATGCAACAACAACAACAACTTTATTTTTGTACCCTGCCTCTGTCTCCCCGAAGGGACTTGGGGTGGCTTACATATGGCACAGTGTGCCTAAAACAACGCATAAAAATAAACACAACAATACAATACAAAACAAAATAAAACCAAAGGCAAATAAAATAAAGTTGAAGCTGAAAAACAGTGCCTCATAACCTATGATGAGAACTGTCGTAAAACATATCCAACTGTAAACAGGAGCAGGGAATAGGATAGTGCAAATTTTAGCTAATGAACTAGGGCACAGGATGAAAGTGTAGTGCTGTGGCACTAAATTGCAGACCATTGGGATTAGACATTCTCAAAGGCTTGTCCAAACATCCAAGTCTTCAATTCCTTCTGGAAGGAGGATGGTGGGTGCCTGCCTAATCTCCCTAGGGAGGGTGTTCCAAAGCCAGGGAGCCACCACCAAGAAGGCCCTCTCCCTCGTCCCCACCAACAGCACTTGAGACAGTGGCAGGACCTTGAGAAGGGCCTCCCCGACAGATATTAATGCTCGTGCAGGAACATTTGGGGGGGGGGGGAGAGAATGTGGTCACAAAGATAGGCATGTGATGTATATATTTGAGTTGTTTCCAGCTTATGCTGCCACTATCACAGGATTTTTTTGAGAAAGTTTGTTTGGGAAGGGTTGCCACTGCATTGCTCTTAAGACAGAGTATGACTTGCTGAAGGTCACCCAAGGGATTTTCAGGGCTGAGTGTGGATTTGAACCCTAATCTAGCATGTAAGCCTCCAAGGTTATCATTGCATGGAGCGCCATTGCCTTCACACTGGAGCGGTACCTACTGATCTACTCACATATATATGTTTTCGAACTGCTAGGTTGGCAGAAGTTGGGGCTAACAGCGGGAGCTCACACCACTCCCCAGAATCAAGCCTGCGACCTTAGGTAGCAACTTTAAAAATTATACAACAACGCAGAACGGATTCACCATGCCAGTGATATGGAAGCCACCAGTTGTCATTGTCCTTTGACTGTCTGTGTAGGATGGGGATGGGAATGGAGGGACTGGTTCGTGCTTTTAATAATTAGAAGTGGCAGATAAATCTAATAACAGGGCAAAAGAAAATTCTGTTTTTAAACCACAATTTGGCCTTGCTATTGGGGAAACTCTGTTTCAAAGAAAAAAACACAAGGGATTGGGTCCATAGATGTTTTACATGAAGCAAAGGCGGCAGAAGAAAACCATCAGAGGATCTGGAATCTGAGTCCCCTTTGGGGTGAGAAGGGCAACATATAAATGTTGTAAATAAATAGATAAATAAATAAGTTATAACTTTTTATTTGTATATAGTATTTTTTAACAAAACCATAGGAACAAGCAAGTAGAAAGTTGTAGAAACCATTTTGGGAACAAAAATTAATCTAAAAGGGGTTCCCATCTGGCGGAAGGAAGTAAGGATAGCCATTTTCATATAACCTGCAGTCCTAGTTTTTTTCCCCTACACTGTCAGTTTAAACAGAAGGAAGAGGATCGACAACTGAAGCAAGAACATTTTACAGCTAATTTTATTACATGATTACAAAAAGAACATGAGCAAGGCATTCGCATCGTGCTTTGTTTTGTCACTGCTCTTCGCCCACCTATAAACATAATTAATTCTTTCCAAAGGAGGACGCAATGATTGCTGAAAACAATTCATGATTCTACTGTCAAACACAGACCTTGCGTTGCTAAGTAGGATGAGTACTTTGTTGATCACTTCATCCATGATGAGTGATAACAATTCAGGCAGAACCATAACATATTAAACATGACAATCAGGACAGATCTTGCAGCTTTCACAAAACTCCTCAGTGTGCAAATCTGTTGAAAAACTAACTCTTCTTGAAGAGTGACAACTTCAAAAAATGTGTATAGTTGTGCGAATCCACTTATATTCTCAATTCTACACTCATACCATATAATATTATCAAACAAATTAATTTTTGTTCCCAAAATGGTTTCTACAACTTTCTACTTGCTTGTTCCTATGGTTTTGTTAAAAAATACTATATACAAATAAAAAGTTATAACTTATTTATTTATCTATTTATTTACAACATTTATATGTTGCCCTTCTCACCCCAAAGGGGACTCAGAGTGGCCTACTTACCTTACTTACTTAGGCGATCCCTCGTTGTCTGAGTAGGATAATCCTCCAGGGTGGGTCCTATAATATAATATATACAATATAGTACAATATCAGTATTATATATTACTATATAGTACTATACTAATATATTGTAATATTATTAGTAATATTACATGTAATATAAAATATATAATTATAATATCGTATTATTATTAGTAGTATTATATTGTATTACATTACATTACATTATATTATTAGCATAACATAGGAGACAAGGTGCAACTGTCTTCATGGCCCCCCCTCTCTTCATTCTGGCCCAAAGTAGCAGTTGGTGCTGGGGGGAGAGGGGCTCTCAACTAAAGACATAGACAGGAGACAAGGTGGAACTGTCTTCTGGCCCCCTCTCTCTTCACTCTATTACTTCACAATATAGCCTTCGAAGTAACAATAGAAATCCTCAGATTTTATTTATCATGTCAGAAGAGAATTGAGGATACAGTTATAATGTATTTAAAATGCAAACGAAGTAAAAAACTTGGGATTATACTAGATTTTCTTTGGCCAGAAGCTGGCCACTTGGAGTGCCTCTGCTGTTTCTGTAAGAAAGTCCTCCATTGTGCATGAGACAGGGCACACACTGCATGGTAGGAAGTGACCTGTGGTTTGCTCTTCTCCACACTCGCATGTCGTGGACTCCACTTTGTAGCCCAATTTCCTAAGTTTGGCTCTACATCTTGTGTTGCCAGAGCGCAGTCTGTTCAACGCCTTCCAAGTTACCCAGTGTTCAGTGTGCCCAGGGGGCAGTTTCTTATCTGATATCAGCCATGGATTGAGGTTCCGGTCTTTAGCATGCCACTTTTGGACTCTTGCTTGCTGAGGTGTTCCTGTGAGTATCTGTGGATCTTAGGAAGCTGTTTCGATTTAAGGCATTGACATGCTAGCTGATATACAAATACAGGATGGGCCAGAGATATCAATGCTTTGGTCCTGTCATTACTGGCTGCTACAGATGTCAGGTAGTGCAATACCAGCTAAACAGTATAATTTATCCAGTGGTGCAGGGCGTAGAAATCCTGTGATGGTGCGGCATGTCTCATTAAGAGCCACATTCTCTGTTTTAACATGGTGAGATGTATTGGGCATGCGTATTCAGCAGCAGAGTAGCAAAGCACAAGGGCAGATGTCTTCACTGTATCTGGTTGTGATTCCCAGGGTCATGAGAGAAGCCTCCCTGCAGGATAGTAACACATCCGGACATCCCCTGGACAACGTCTTTGTAGATGGCTGATTCTCTCACACCAAAAGCGACTTGCAATATAAGACCAACCAATCAAACAATCCACAGATAGAATGTATACAAAACCATTTTAAAAAATCCATATTAATGGTGTCCTCTAAAACAGCATTCCACAAACTGGCATTATTTTGGGTAGAAAGAGAATCTAGTAATAATTAACCACAACATATTCAATAAATGGATACCATCTGTGATAAAAATCATAAATTACTTATGTCTCTTATATATCAAATTAATTACTTAGCAGAGCTAGATCTCCATTTTCCAAGGTAAAGTCATAGTCCAACCCAGAGGTTTTTTTTTTATAACTATCCTTCATGTTCAAATCAATTAATTTCCATTCCAAAACAGGTTTATAATTTCATTAACTAAAATATTTAAGAATTTTATTTGGATTTCAAAGATATTATTATTATTATTTCCCTTTGCGGGTGACATCTGGCCCAGGGGCTGTATGTTGTGCAGGCCTGCTCTTGTTTGTGGGTGATGTGGTTTTGGATTATAAAATGGGAAGGGCATGAGTTGTGATTAGAAAAAAAGTAATGCATCTACATTTTTTACTATTATTTAATTCTTATTTCAATTACTAAAGAGAGATATTCCTAAGGCAACTGTCTAAAAAGAAGTCCACAAAACCATAATTACTGGTGACGGGCTCCCCCTTGTGTTTGTAGCGGAAATAAATGCTCAGACATGTCACATTGCAAAGAATTGGCTGTTTTTTTTTATGTTTTATGGTAAAAAGAAAAAAGCGGACATGGAGAATAAATGTAATGATACCTATTAAGACTAACTGATTTACTTTACATGGACTTTCATCCACTTCTTCAGATGTAAATATGTCCTGGAAACAGCCTTCAACCATAGATTGTTTCTGAATTCTTTAGACTCAAAGCATGAAATTTCACTTTAAATTACATCATCATAATTCATTATAATTACATTATATTATTAATAATTATTATTATTATGCCATCAAGTATATATGACTGAATAATCATAATAATTATGATAATTTACAATACAACAAGCCAAAAAGAGATCCTGCCAGAGGCACACAATCTCAAACACATACACACAGAGAGCGAAGGAGGAATAATAAATTATAAAATTAATACAATTGCAAAACAAATCACTAAATTAAAATAGTCAAAAGTTATTTTCAATCAAACTTGCAAAATACAACTAACCTGCCAACACAATTGAAAACAATTTTATCGCAAAGCCATTAAAAGTGAAAAATAAAAGCAGTAACAAGTATTTTCCCCATAAAC